TAGCGATGGGGAGACCGGGAATTCTAGTCCTGCCTTGGGCACAAAGCCAACTGGGTAACCTTGGGCCAGTCTCTCTCAGCCTTGGGGAAAAAAGCAATGCTAAGCCCTTCTGAAAAACCTTGCCAAGAAAACTGCAAGGATTTTTCCAGACAGCATCCAGCAGTCAAGACTGACTCAAAAACGCACACAAAAGGATTTCATTTAAATGTTATTGAAAAATCCCTAACTACTGCAATCCTACAGAACAAGTAATATATTTTTGTTCAGGCACATTTGACTTGATCCTGTCAATCCCACTTTATCAAATGCAATATGGCTATTTGTACAAACACAGATTATAATCCATCAGATTTTGCTGAGAAATAACAGGTGTTTCTTGTGGGTTGACTGCTTTTCTAACAATGTATTTGTAAGCACATGCATGGAAGATGGTAGACTGCCCTCTCTGGTTCCTTGGAGGAAGACCCTACAGCAGTGTTTCTCAAGAAGGGCCCTGTGAAAAGTTTCTAGACGTTCTGTGAGAGATTGGGATAAAAAAAAAAAAAACACAATTTTTTGAAGTCTGTACACTGTAGAGTGCTAGCACTCTTGGTGATGGTAAAGATTATGGGTCATGACTCAATTGTCAGCCTATTTTTCTGTTATTGTAAACATTGTTAAAACATTGATTGTGTCAGAAATGAATTGTATTGTGAAATTTTCATATTTTTTCCAATTTTTATTTAGTGGTTCCCTGAGATCTGAACATTATTTCAAAGAGTGTGTGTGTTAAAGGGTTGATAAAGGCTGCTTTGAAGCATTTCTTCATAATCCCTCCTGGATTCTCCCATTCTGTAACAATCTATTTAGGCCATTGTCATTATTCATGTTATTCCAGGGAAAAGTCCTACTCTGCATTGTGTCAGGAAGAAAAAGGGGGCAAATGTCCTATGTTCTTATCAACTATTTAGCCAGGTGAGGCAAAAAGTACTACTTATTTATCTTATGCTATTTCTGTGTTAGATGTTTATTCTACCTTTATTACTTTTATAAATAACTCAAGGTGGCAAAGTTATTTAATTCTCCTTCGTCCTCCTATTTTTCCCACGAGAACTCTGTGAGATGAGTTCGGCTGAGAGAGAGTGAGTGACCCAAAGTCAAGCAACTGGCTTTCATGCCAAAGATGGGATTAGAACTCAGTCTCCTGGTTTCTAGGCCAGCACCTTCACCAAAAGTAACACTGATTCTGAAGAGTTTTTCCAGCCATTTGCTCTTCTAGCCAGGAAAGCAGTCACAGAATCAGAGAATAAAGGCAGGAATGACAAAAACTAAGAAAGGCACCCAGTAGATTATTTTCTGTAATACCAATAGAAGAAAACACTTGTAGCTCAGGATTGAACTGTGAGGTCTTTGGTGTTCTTTGTGCTGGGTTATTTTCTGGCAGACATCTCATAACCAAACTAAGTAACATCATTAGTGCTAGAAGGGAATATGGTTTGCTCTCGGTTTATATACTAGTGATTTGCCCTGTCAGTATTAGTGGGAGTGGTCTTGGTGATTCCTTGTTAGGCTGTTGTTTATTGTTAGCTTGTTTGTCTGAGTTGGTGGCTCCTTGATAGGAGTATTGTTAACTTCTTAATTGTTGGTCTAGTGTTAATGTATTTATTTTCTATTTTCTTATTTTCTGTGAAATAAAATCCATATTTTAATTCATGGCTCTCTGACACTAGTCACCAGATAACTATTTCCTGACTTCCAGGCCCAAATTTCTGATGAGTAGGATACTGTTTCCATGGCTTGTAACCAGCCCACCAAGAAATGTCCCATCTTCTATGTGAGAAAAAAGGCACAACTAGGACAATATGGAACCAGCCTTCTCCCTTTATAAAGGCTTACTTCAATGATAAAAACTTTCTCCTGACTGGGCATGGTATTCAGTGTGATTTTCCTATGCTTTGATTAATTTTACTTGGTTTCTAGTTTGATAGGCTTAATTTGATCGATGGATTTCATTTGAATTTTCTTATTTTGGGATCTCGCTCTCTTGAGGTGGGATTTTTTCCCCCAGGCACTAATGCTAGGTGCTCCAAACAATTTTTCCATTGGAGAATCTGTTATAATTTTCCTCCCCATTGCCTCTTTTATAAACCTAGATTAGCACTTAGAAGAGTGCTAGAAGCGTGTGAGGAAAACAAAAGACTATTGCTTTCAAATGCTAATTCTCTGTTACAGAGAAGACAATTTACACTAGGAAGGACAGTCAGATCCTGCCAGTTGTCTATGTTGCTTGTTCTGTCACCAATGAGTTGCTTAACAGGTGGGCCAATACAGGTTATCTGCTTCTGCCAATGACTGAATCTTTTATAGCTGGGGTGAGGAGCAGCAGTACCAATAGGCTACTTCTGGGTGGTGTTACTCATAGCTACTCACTGGCAGCATCACTATTCCCTTTCAGTGTTCATCAAGGACAAAGCTTGCTCATTACTTATTTCTCCCTTTCCTTTCACCCTGGTCCTTCCTTTGCACCTATTAGCCTGAAGGACAGGTGACAAGTACATAGAAATAGCATGGGGGGCAAGGTGAGAACTTCCAATGCATTGGAGGAACTCCATCCTGCTTCTTTCTGTGCCTCTATCCCATACCTGCAACCTATCAGGCAACTTAACAGATGGCTAAATTTACTGTTCAAGGTACCTGTCCATACTTCTCCAATCCCACATGTTGAGAAAACATTGGTAGTTATATTTCCCATAGCAGCTGATGCTCAATGGGAGGGAAATAGGGAAATCAACCAATGACTTTGCTTAACTTGTTGTGCATTGACACTATTATGCCTTGTTAGTGAGGCATAATAAGATTCACCTGCAAAATAAATCTACCTTAGATTTTTGTTGGTTCAGTGGCTAGTGGGTAGTATCTGTAAGGTATGTTCAGAAACAATTTATGAAGAAGATAAATAAATAGCAAATCAGCACATCAACCAACAGTTACATGCTGGATGACGTGCTGATTTTCTATTTATTTATCTTCTTAATTTGTATTTTGAAGGTCCTTCTAGGATGTAAAGTTAACAGAAGTACCAATAAATAACTGGTGATTTACAAGCCAATGATTGATTTTCAAGACAATGAAGGCATTGATTGGCTTGTATATTAGGGGAAGCTGATAAAAGATTCTTAATTACATCTCCCAGAGTATATATGTAGAAATATTCCTTCATATGTGTAGGAAATGCCTTCTTCAGATAAGATTTTTTTCTCCCTCACATTGCCCAATGTAACATTTTCTCCCATATTTACTTATTCAGATTGTAAGGCAGGCTGGTAAACTGACAGGTCACACAAACCATCACAGGCACCAAGGAACACTAGCAGTTTAAGTCTACACATCTTAAAAGTTGCTGATGTTGAGAAGCACTCCTCTAAATCACTGAGTTCAAGTCCAGCGCTGTTACAACTGTGTATGTGTGTATGTATATGTATCTATTGTTCAGGAGTGCTGTCTTTCCTCTTTCCTTCCCTATAAGAGCTCTTGGGAGGATGCCAGGTGCAATGGCAGTACATTCTGTTTTGAAAGTGAAAAAAGTGAAAAAAAATGGAGGCGGTGAGGAAAGAAAGAACAAGACAGACTGTACTCCAGAGAGGGAAAAATGAAGAAGCGTCTGACCAAACTTTCTTCTCCTATGCTTAGAAAGCTATTTACACTTATCCAACGTGTATGTGGATTGAATTCACTATGTAGGTAGCTCTTTCCTTCATTAATCTGGATTTCTGAATCTCAAGTAATTCCTTTTGTTGAAATGCAGCATTTTTCTAAGCCAGCATATGTATCCGCTGGTTCTCAAGCTCTATACACAACTGAAGAGTTACATAACTTAGGACAGAAAGTTCTGACCTGTTGGGCAAGCCTTCAATGACTTCCAGCCTGGTTTTGCAGAAAGCATTGCATATTCATTCGTTTTCCATTTAGAGCTGCAGAAGTGGAAGTGAGTGGCCCAGAATTGGCTGATAGAAGGGCCAGATGCCAAAGAGGGCAAGAGCCCTGCGTGATGAACAGATACATAAAAGAGCGAGTTTTGGCAGGCTTGGGTTGCTGTCTTTGTATTTCTCAACCAGAACAAATTGCCAGTCCTTTCTGAATAGGAAGAAAGAGCAGGTAGGCTTCCTCAGGAATCGTCACGGGAATGCAGAAATTATATAGACTTTTATGTCTATTAGAGCCAGGTGTGGCATGCCAAATATATGCAATTTCAATTGCACCATAAAATGATAGCATATTATCTCCATGACAACTCTTTGTTTATCCTCATGATTATTAGCTTTTGTGAATGAATTATGAAGGAACAGGAAACTATGCCTCAGGTTATGTAGTCTGTCATTCAGGGAATGGAGGAAGTCATAAGACGTTCAACACAGATCATCAAAGCACTTTGCTACATTCACTTTATTTTATGTGCTATAGTTTTATACCAGAGCTTTCCAGGATTCAGTCTTTGTATCTATTTTCTATGCCAAAGTTTAGTTGAGTGAATAGATGATTTAAGAACAGACAAAAATGCCCTAGGCAGGCTTATAGTATATTTCCTACACACCACTGACTGAGCAGAGAATCTGCAGCATACATCAGGGAGTAAAGGAAGGGCTTCCTAATCAGAAAATTTCACCCCCAAAGCTAACTGCTGGCATTTCCTTTTTTAAAGAAATTAACCACTGGGGATTTGAGAGCCTATAACAATTGCTGTGTAATGGAATATGGCAACCCAATGAACATATCATCAATTCCCAGCAGTAAATGTGAGCAGATGTCAGGTTCCAAACAGCAGCATAAAATTTAATAGGATTCCCAATGTTTGATTTTCACCAAGCTGTAAATGCTGCCAAGTATTTGTTGGCAAATTAGAGGATTTATATTTTAATCTGGTGCTATTCCCCAGGGCACAACAGCAATTGGGATGGATGGGGGAGGTTGACATCCTTGAAAATTGTTGTAGGTGTAGTTTCAGTAAAAAAAAGGCGACAAGATTTCAGTTTGTTTGAAAACTTTACTAGTTCCACTGGAGAAAAAAATAATTCAAGTGCTTGTTAAATTGAAAGACAAAAGCATAAAGGTATTTTCAAGGATGTTAATGATCTCCTCTTAATTCACGTCACCATCATTCATGTATTATGTTTTCTTCCACTCCTGTTTTAAATAATGTATGCACATATTATCAGATTGAAAAGAGTCAGCCAAATATTTATGCTGATCCAGCAACTAAATAAAATTGTAAAAGAACTTCAGCATGTACTTCAGACAGATAGCACCAGTTCACTTTCTGCTGGCAGAAAACAGGAAATTTTAATATGCATTGCCTTTCTGTGTGATAAAAACTTGATATAATCCCATTTAAAGTTACATTTCTATCTGATCCATGCATAGCAATTCAGTCAAAAGAGCAGTAAATGAGACATCTGAAAGTTGCCTGCCCTACATTTATGATAATTAGTTGGAACTATTTAGAAAAAAGGCACTTCCTTTACAAATTCAAGTATTTATTGCAATATTTAGAAAGCAGCTTTCAGAGAGAGTAGCTTGCCCTGAGTGCTATACAAAACAACTGCATACAATAATAAAATATCGCTATGTAGCACTTTAAATCATGGGTATCCAACCTTTTGGCTTGCCTGGACTACGTTGAGTAAAGAGGTACTGGATACAAAATATATCATGTAGTTAATGTATATAAATAACATAATTATGTTAAAAATTTACAATCTTGTGGGGCCACCTTACTAGTTCAGGGTCACCTGTGGCCTGCGGGCTTGACATAGCTGCTTTAAATATTATTAGTTCTTTCCAGAAATGGCATTATCAGAAATGAAAAAGAACTAGTTAAGTGGACAATAAGGATAAGAAAACGATCTAGAGCTAAGAAAACAGGGTTTTTTTCTTTACCGGTACTTACCCAACTATCCTTCTACTCTTATTTTTTCCACCAAATTGTTATAGCTTAACACAAAGATATGGATCTAGTATTGACAGTACAAAGTTCTGTGGAATTTCTGGAATTTCCTTCAAAATGCTATTTTTTCTCCGTATCTACAAAGTCACTTCTCCCAGTAAACAACATTGGAATCTAAAATCACATTCACTAACCTAATTGAGTGACTATTGACACTAACATTAACAAAACATTAACCAGATTTTCCAGAGTGTATATACTGTATTTAGGTGTAATAGGTATTTGCATTCCATCAAAGGGCAAATTCTCTTGTTATATATTTTTATTAAATTAAACAAATTGTAAAAACAAATACATTTCTTGTTTTTAATTGGCATTATTTTGATTCTTCTTTAAGAAGAAAACACTAAACCTATTTTAATATCTAGATATTGAACAGTACAGGACTATATGAAATAATAATATATGTGGACTGCTGTTGAAAGAGTCACTTTTAGGCACTAGATTGACACAAAGCCATTTCACAGAGAAAGACACGTGTTCTGAATGCACATACATTTCTACCTCTTTATACAGTTTATGGAAGAGGGACATAATAGAGAGGATGGAGAGAAAATGTATTGTTGGAACTCATATATCAAACTAAACTATTTTCTTAAATTGCTATCTATTAAATATGCCATAATTGGTTGGGCTAACATAACAAATCCACAATATTTCATGATGTGAGTTCTCAAAATAATATTATGACCTGGTACAGGGTGGGAATTCAGTCTTTGAATGGCATTATATAACTATTTTTATAAAACTCATAGTCTAATCTGGATTCTAATCCAACAATGGAATGTATTTAAAATTAGTATATCACCTGTCATACTATACTTTTCTAGGCAATATGTATTGTTACACATTAAATACAGTATGTAATATTATAAGGTATATCACATAATTCAGTAATCAAACAGAATAAGTGGTGCAAAATACATAATCAGTAATCAAATGGAATAAGTGGCTTCTGGTGTACGTCATGGCTAACTAAAGATGACTGCACCAATCAGCAGAGATGACAATTGTGAAAACAGAAGACTGGCAAATAGATTGGGTTTTTTGGTTCTCCAAAGAAAGGGAGATTGGGAGATTGACTACAAGTGTTCTGAATTGCTCACAAACAGCAGTCTCCTGTGGGTTTGAGCACCAGGAGCCAAGGAAAACAACATTTTTGCTCTCAGCAATGGCAAAGCATTTCAAAAAGACACTAAGCCAGCCAAACTCACTTTCTAATTATATTTGGAAATGTTGAATTTAATAACTTTATTATCAGAGATCCTCAAAACAGCAAGCTTAATATGACAGCTGTCAGTTTTACCTTTTTCATATTTGAAAACTTTTAAACAAGACTTAAGGATTAAAAATAATATGCAATTGGCAAAAAGCAAAAAAAGAAAGTATTTTAAGAAAGTTTTAAACAGACTGGGAGACAAGAGACGTTTGGAATATCAATTATTTTTTGCTTTAAGATTTAAAAAACAAATATATGATGAAATAAGGCAGTGTTTCTCAACCTTGACAATTTTAAGGCATGTGGACTTCAACTCCCAGAATTCCACAGCCAGCAATGCTGGCTGTGGAATTCTGGAAGTTGAAGTCCACATGCCTTAAAATTGTCAAGGTTGAGAAACACTGAAATAAGGTATTTGGGGGAAATGACTGAAATGGAACTAAGCTCATATTAGGAATAAAAGCTTGATGAAGGTTGTAAATAAAGATTGAAGGACCAGGGAGAACAGAGTTAAAAAGGTAAGCCAGATATAATTTTTTCTTAACTTAAAGAGTTTTTTGAAACATGGACTGAAATATTAATAATATCTCAGAAACGCTACAGATTTCGATGGATAAACTTAGATGAGAAAAAAAATGAGGAAATGTTTACCTGGCATGGACATTACAGAGTTTGAAGGCATGGAGGACAACAAAATTGAGATTATTCAAATGGGAATACAAAAGACAAATCAAGAAAAGGATTTGGATACAGAACACTTAAAACAGCTATGACAAGAAATCATGGACCAGCCTTCTTTATGGGATTTACAAATGCCTGCTTAAAGCTTTGAAAATTCCTTTTAAATGCCAAAGAGTAATGATAGATTAAATTCTGCAATGCCATAAGTATGCTTTAAAAATCAAGAATCTGCAGAACAAAATGAAGGAATATAAAGTTTGACTTTTTGACCAGAGATAAACCATTTGTTTGATTTTTCTGGTAACGCCTAATGAATTTTTTGCCGAACTAGGACTGAAAAGATGATCATTTCTCTATTGAATAGAGATAAAAGTTAGGCTATGAAAAGGTTTTTTATCTGTAATGTTCAAATAAAGTGAAAAGTTAGTATATCAGCTTATGCTTGATGTGATAAAGGTTGGAAGCCACTTCTTTATTATTGCATTTGTTGCCTTTTTCATTCAACTTCTACTTTTTTTTTCTGCACCTGATTTTTTTTCTTCTGATTTAGTTTGCATTAGTTTTTACTATATTATCAATAAAATTATTAATCAAAAAATACTGACATGAAGTGCCCCAACAGAACTGGTTCAGAAGAGATATTCAGGACCTATAATAAACCCTACTCATGTTTATTTAGTCCCATGGAGCCTTCTTGCAGCTATCTATTGAGTTCTGGATTATGAATGCATAGCCTGATCCTGTGTGTCATTAATGTAAGCTTATTGCTTTTAGTAGTATTTATATGACAAACTATGCAGAAATACAAGTTATTATGGTAATCATTCTTACAAAGAATAGATGAAACTTAATTGAGACTTGTTAGAAGGAAAAAGAAACAGGTGACTTCAGCCTGCTACTTTGGCCATTTCCTCATTAAAGATTGATAGCATTCTAATGCATCATCCAACAGTTGTTGAAGTAATACATCACTAATGAAGATAGGCCTTACAATGACTTGCCGATGGCTGGATTATTATGCTGCAGGATGTAAGAAATCATTAGCGTGGAAACGATAAAAAATAAGTTTAGATGGTAAATAGTTGCAATATAGAACAACCTTGTCGGTTTGCCTTCTAGTAAATAAAATTGTGGGAGCTTGATGGCTCAACGATTAGAGACGCTGAGCTTGTCAGCTGGAAAGTTGATAGCCCAGGTTCGAGACCCGAGTGTTGCATGATAGGGTGACCTCCTGTTACTTGCCCCAGCTCCTGCCCATCTAGCAGTTCGAAATCATGCAAATGTGAGTAGGTAAATAGGTATCACTTCAGTTGGAAGGCAACTAGTGTTCTATGCTGGCTACATGACTACAGAAATGTCTTTGGACAACGCTGGCTAAGAAACGGAGATAAGCACCAACCCCTAAAGTCAGACATGACTGGACAGGGGAAACCTTTATCTTTTACTTTAAATGGAATTGTATGTCTATACCAGTGGTTCTCAACCTTTTTAATGCCGCGACCCCCAACTGGTCGTAAGTCGAGGACTACCCAACCGGTCGTAAGTCGAGGACTACCCAACCGGTCATAAGTTGAGGACTTTCCCTGCCTGAGAATGCCACGCATGTGTGGTGCCGCCCCCCTGTGCTGGCTGAGGCCTAGCTGGCAAGGGGCAGCGACGGTGCAGGGCGACCACTGGCTGGGCCACCAGCTGGCCCAGCCCAGGCAGGTAAGGCACCCACCGGGCCCCACGCATGCCAGCAACCCTCCCTGTGCCCGCCGCTGCCCCGCTAGCCTTACCTTGGCCACCACCTGTTCGGGGGGGCGGCAGGCAGGCCCTGGCGCTCCTGGGTGGCCACAGCAAGCGGCAGCGACGGCGCAGGGCGACCACTGGCTGGGCCACCAGCTGGCCCAGCTCAGGCAGGTAAGGCACCCGCCGGGCCCCACGCACGCTAGCAACCCTCCCTGCACTCGCCAGCCTCCCACCCCTGGCCCTCTTTTACTTACTTTTAGTAGTTGCTCAGCAGGGAGGGAAGCTTTCCTTGCAGCACCATTTGCAGACTGGGGCTTTTGGTGGTCTCAGCAGGGCAGAGACAGCCTGGACAATTCCTATTGGCTTTTGAAAGCCAATAGAATTAGACTCTATTCAAGAGAGTCTATTCTATTGGCTTTCGAAAGCCAATAGATTCTATTGGCTTTCGAACACCAATAGAATAGAGTCTCTTGAATAGAGTCTATTCTATTGGCTTTCAAAAGCCAATAGAATAAGAGGGAGTAGCACAGCTAAAGAAAAGGGGAAAAAATGGCAGACAGCCTTGTTTGGTGATCCCCGTGAAATGGTCGTTCGACCCCAAATGGGGTCGCGATCCACAGGTTGAGAACCGTTGGTCTATAGCCACCATGGCTGCAGTTTTGAAAATAATCTACATTCACTGCAGATTTTGAGAGATTATCTGAAACAACAGTTCAAAATTTTAAATGTTCTCTATTTATGTGTCTATTTTTCTTTCAGACTATACCTCATGAAAATATTTTTTGAACATAGCCCCTTTTAAAATGTTGCTATTCCCGTTATGTATGATTTCATCTTTTCTTACCATTCTGATTATATATAAAAATCGCATTATTTATCTTCCTACATGACTGATAGGTCAAAGAAGAAGAATCTATAGAAAAACATACTAAACTATGTATTATTTATTCACCAATTCAGTTCTGGTCTCATTTTCAATAATGATACATCCTGCAGAAATTCATTCTTTTGTATATGATGGAAAATGACTGAATCAATGTAAATATCACCAGATCTACCAGATCTATAAAGAAAACATTCTAGCTATTTTAAATCTGGAAAACAGGTTAGTAATATTTTGTATTGGCACAAGTTTCACTCATAAAACTGCATACAATATGCTAAACCATAGTTTAGTAGAATGGCTGAATAAGTCATACTGGGCTGAATTTATACAATGAAGCTCCCAGGATACACTGGGCCAAGTCACTTTCTCAGCTTTGCCTACCTCAAAGAGCCTGTGAGGAAAAACAGGAAGAACATTATGTACACTGCCTTGAGCTCTAAATGAAAGCTGTGATAGGAATCAAATTAAAATAGTAAATAAATACATAATTGCACTAGTCATGATTCCTATTTCACAAACAGCTGTGTTGGTGAAACATAGTAACTAAGCCATAAACAAATCAAATTATGCCTTAGTACAATGTGTAAACCAAGTCATAATCTGAGATGTGTATACAAAGTTTAACTTAATCTAATTGCATTCCCTCCTTTACTCTAGCAGGTAAGCATAATGCTAGTTTCAAGAAAGTTTTGCAGCAGCAAAACTACACTGTCCCAGATAAACTGCTCTTAAACACAGCAGCTCCTTTGCTACCTAAGGCAAGATTTTCAGGTGGCCACTTTAGAGAAAAAATTAACAATAGTTAACCAATATCATTTGTATGTGCTTTATTGCCAGGTGTGTATCCAAAACTTTATCTGAAATTTTCTTTTCTCTTTGAAAACAAACAAAAACTGCAAAGTACACAAAGTTACTTTCATTACAGTGAAAACACACCAAAAAAGAGAGCAATTGCTTCTTGTACAAATAATATATGAAGAATACCTAAGGGACATCTTTTTCAATTGCATTTAATACTGCAGAACTCATCACTGCTATTTTTAATTCTAAGGTCACAACACTGGTAACAAAAAATAGCTCACATGGTTAATGAAGACTATTGCTAAAGAAAAAAAAAATACTTTCCTCTCACCTCTGTCCTAATTCGGTTTCTATTTCAAGACAAAACAATGAAATGTTTTATGGCTCTCTCCAGTTTAAAAAGCCACAAGACACTTAGTTATTTTCCCTGTAAAAGTTTTAGAGCTACTCTTCCAAATTCAAGTTACAGTTGCTTTGTAAATAGCACTGAAAATACCACATAGAAAACCACACCATCACAGCCCCAACAACAACAGCAGGGCATACTACACAACGAATAAAGCACATTCTCACTAACACTGATGATATTACTTAATCAGGTAATGAAATGTCTGCAAGTAAACAACCAAGCTCAGACAGCACCAAGGACTCCATAGTATTGAAAATGCCTGCATACAATAGCCTAGTATCTGTTATGCAGCCTTCTAACACTGTCAGACATACACACTTTAAAAACAGGAATGACAGTGATTAATATTATTTGACTTTCACCTATTTCTTGGTGCCTCTCTTTCTGGACAGCTGGCCATGCATAGGTTGTGAGAAAACCCAGCCTTATTTTTGCAGCCTCCAGAGTTCCTTAGAATTGTGTCACATTAATATATCAGTATTACACCTCTTGGAAACATCAGCAAATGTACTTCTCCTATTGCCAGGTTTCGCAATCTTGCTATATTGCAAAATATACAATTTGGGCTATTTTTTATAAAAATGGAAATAAAGTCAGTATTTCTTTCAATGTAGGCGATATAACCAATGCGTTCTCTGTTTGGGAAAATTAGAGGAATCTTCCTCACGTTCAATTGCTCAGCATTATGCAAAAATTATTCCTTGTAATTATATAAATTACCTAACCTGATTCTATGTTTCTTGATTTGACAGATAGCATTTTGGAGATGCAATTTATAATTTGCCTAAAAGTCTACAATACCCTAAATATTTATAATTTGCCTAAAAGTCTACAATACCCTAAATATCTATGTATTTAAAGTAATTAATTGAACCCCATCTATTATAATAATGTTGGTAATTTAGTCCCTTTCATTTGTTAGACTTCCCATAATAATAAAAGATTTAGCAGTTGCTCTTTTTTATTTATTTCAGGACTTTTTGAAAAAAATGCTTTTAAAACATCCTTGCTTATAATAATCCTCCACCATTATCAGCACAATTCTATGCATGCCTACTCAGAAATTTGAGCTCAAAGAGTTGAAAATTACAAAGTAAGTATACTGATGCCACTTCTAATAAAATAGGATTAGAATATTAATAAATGAATTTGTAGAGGAAGATTGAGAAAAAGTGCCATACCTTAGTAGCATACCAACTCTATTTTTACTATTTTTTTTATTTAATCCTCTCTAGGGTGGAGGTTAGAGAAAACTGGTTCTACTCCTTTGCAGGACAGTCTTGATTGGATGCTGCCTTTTTAATTATAAATAAGGGATGTAAATTAGACCTCTAAGATGAAGTCTGTTAAATATATGTGCAGTAAAGGTAAATGGAGCAAATGCAGATGGTTAAATTTATACTTGATTTATTTGTTTTTAAAAATTATTAGATTTATATCTGCCACTATTTCATACAAGGCAGCATAATATTCTCACCTTCTATTTTTCCACAACCATCCTGGGATGTGGGTTGGGCTGAGAGAGTGACCCAAGGTTCCCAACTGGCTTCATGCCTAAAATGGGATTAAACATTACCACCTTCAGGTTTCTAGCTGGTACCTTAACAATTACACCAAGCTGGATCTCCAGCAAAAAACTACAGTAATTCTAATAGAAAGAGCCAGTGGATAAAATAAATTAGTTTAAACCAGTTAATGCAAGATTCTGACTGGCCAATTCAATTGGGGAGAGTTAGTGCACTCTGGGTTTCATCAATTAAATAATGCCATCTGTCAGAACTTTGGAAGCTTGCCTTCTCTGTAGCAGCACCTGCTCTCTGGAATGAGATTCTCCCATGAAATTCAAATGGCCCCCACCCTTTTGGTATTTCGAAGGGCCTTAAAGACCTGGCTCTGGAAAGGACTAATGTTTCTTTCCTTCTTTCCCTTGTTCCCCTCTGAGATTGTTTTCTCTGCCACCTTTGTCTTTTGTCTTGTAATGTTTTTGTGATGTTTGTATTGTTCTTTATTTTAAATTGTTTTACCAACTGTATACCACCCAGAGTTGCTGGGAGTTGGGAGGCATATACATTTAATAATTATCAAATTATTTACTCTCCTCCCCATTTCTGCCTCACAATTCTCCCAAAACATTGCTACAGAATGGAAGTTTAGATAGAGAAAGGGGGAGCACCTGCTTCCCCCTACGTTTATTTAAAACAAAGAGTGGTAAAAGGTTGGTTACTTTGGTTACATTTGGATCTAAACCTCTTCCCAGCAGCTTCAGAATGCTGAACCATAATATTCATCCCATGGTGACTGGGAATGTCAAAGGATGCTGTTGCAGAATAGTTTATAGGAGTTATAATCCAGTAGAGACTTTTGAGAGCATGGCTTTATACCAAAGGGTCATCTTAATTATTACACAGTATATGAAACTGTTGAAAAATTACCCAGTGTTTTTTTATCAATTGTCGAACACGCCGCACCTGATGTTTGGAGGGCACCAGCTAACATCAGTTTCAATGTAGTAGATATATATTGGATATAATTTTTATTACCTTGACATCTATCCATTGGGGAAATGGGTTTGCGAGGTTTTTCTCTTCAACCTGACGCTGTCCGCTAAACTGCAGGTTTTTTGCGCTTCAGCTTCAATGTCTCCTGCCTTTAGTGAAAAGTATCTACCGAATGGCACGGAAAGAAAATTGCTGGGGACGAGTCAGATTTCTGGAGTTCAGATATGGGCACGACATAGAAGAGAAACATAGTATCTTGCAAAGCATCTCCCTCCAAACTTGACTCAAACTTTTTGCAAGAATTAGAATGAACCTACCTTTCTGTTCCTAAACTGTGATTCCCCTACGTTTATGTGAAAGAAGAGTTACCTTTCTTGACACGCGACCAGGACCATCCCACCCCCTCCTCTCCAATACACTCCTTGGAATCTTACCCCGTTCTCTAGAACGCGCAGAGGAACTCATTGAAACACCGCCGCGCCGCCGCGATTGGGCTTGTGCGCATGCTCAAAGAGGCGTACTGTGAGGCGCTTAGGGCAGAACCACCCATTTGACTGTAAGGACGCATGTGCGCCGTCTGGTGCGCCTGAGCTGGTCTAAGGAGGGTGGGAAGTGTGGGGGTGACGTCAAGGCGCGGCAGCCATTACACGGAGAGCGGACCGGATCGGCGAGCGTGAGAAGCAGCCGCTGCCGCTGCTCCCCATCACCTGGGAGGGAGAGATTCCGCTGTGCATGTCTCTCTCCTCCTCCTCCTCCTCCTCCTCCGTCCAGCCCTCACTTCTTCCTGACGCGTAGCAGCCTCCCCTAATCTCCGCGAGGGGGAGGGAGAAGGGTGGGCGGAGGTGGGGCAGGGGTGGTGGGTGCCGGCGAAGAAGGCAGGCAGGAAGCGGCGGCGGCGGGAGCAGCGACGATGGAAGAGAAGGTCTTCACGAAGGAGCTCGACCAGTGGGTCGAGCAGCTGAACGAGTGCAAGCAGCTCTCGGAGGGGCAAGTGAAGAGCCTGTGCGAGAAGGTGGGCAGCCAATGGCGGTTCCGCGGGAAGCGGGGGAAGACCCAGACCCCGTTGGGGCGAGGGGGGGGGGAAAGAGAGAAATATGTGTCGGAGGGGGAGGGAAAGCGAAGAGGTCCGCCCGACAATTGGGGAGAGGAGCCTCGGTAAAAACGCGCCGGGGATCCAGCAAGGTCCGGAAGGGATCGCGGATGGCGGCGGGGGCATTGATCGCGGCGGGCTCCGCTGAGATGTGAGAAGCGGGTGCGGGCCAGGAGGGCGCCGGGACAAGCGCGGACTTGAGAGCCACCGCAAGGGGCGCTGTCCCGCCGGGATGAAAGGAGAAGTGGCGGCGGCGGAAGCGGAGTACATCTACCCAGAGAAGGCAGAGCGGGGTGTGTCCCCGGTCAGGTGCATTGTAGAGACGGGGCTCCTGGCGGCCAGGCTGCCCATTCTTCAGGCCCCGTAAGGCACCCCCGAGGTCTTTTTACTCACGGAGTAGTCCGTGTGGCTCAGTGGATCGCTTCCCCCCGCTGGCCCTGCGCCCCCTGTCGCATCGCCCGCTCCTCCTCGTCCTCCCACTAGCTCTTAAAATGGCGCCTTTCTCAGAAAATAATGCTACTAGGAAGTCCCTTGTGCTCGGCGGCGGGTTTTGATGCACGGCCGAGCGATGGAGGGAGAGGTTTGATAAGATTCCGGCGAGAAGAAAAGAGAGGAGCAAAATGTATTGTTCTAAATTCGCTCTCGGCAGCTCCAACCTTGGATCGAGAGGGTTCAGCATTAATTTATGCGGTCAGAATTATCGTTGATTGGCCTCGATCGTGCTTTATGTTAGTAGGTTGTAATTTTACAACGCTTCCTTGGTATTTTATTTCACTGAACTTAATCGACCTTACTTCTAAATAAACATATAGAAATGGGAGAAGCATGGAAAAAAGTGAATCGCCCTGGAATCTAGGAGTATTTTCTTGTATTGTAGTAGCATGTAATGATGAATCAGTTAAATTGGATTGTAAATTTATGGTCAAATTACTTCGTACTAAAATGCAATTGATTTTTTTAAATAATGTGTTTGAATGCCATTTGTTAAATTACATTAACGAATGGTATTCAAATAATTTATTATAGTAACATTACATTAAATGACAGCAGGAGAAAGAGCAGTTTTTCTCAGCACATTGTATTTCCTTTTCTAAATTGACTACTGTATCTATACATGTCACACTCTTTCAACCCAAACCACCTCACAGGGTTATTGTGGAGAAAATAGGAGGAGGAAGGGATGTTGGGTATGCTCATTGCCTTGAAGCATTGCAAAAATAACAAAGGTGAAATACGAATTAATTAAATAACTGTATTTAATTCAAGTTTAATTTTAGGATTATGGTTTTAAGTAAGTACCTTTTGGCTAGAAATATATCTGATGAGACTTATGTACTGATTTGGTAATTTTCATTAGATTCATAAGGTTTTTTTTAAATATTTAACCTTCAATGACAATGATTTTTGATATAAACTACAGGCAGTCCTCGACTTACAACCATAGTTGAGCCAAAAATTTACGTTGCTAAGTGAGAAATTTGTTAGTGAGTTTTGCCCCATTTTATGACCTTTCTTGCCACATTTGCTAAGTGAATCACTGCAGTTAAATAGTTAAGTTGTTAGTAATACAGTTACCTGGCTTCTCCATTGACTTTGCTTGTCAGAAGATTGCAAAAGGGGATCACATGACCCCAGGACACTGTAACCATCATAAATATGAACCAGTTGACAAGCATCTGAATGTAAATCACATGACCATGGGGATGCTGCAATGGTCATAATTTTGAAAAACGGTTGTAGCTCACTTTTTTCAGTGCTGTTGTAACTTTAAATGGTCACTAAACAAACCATTGTAAATCGAGGACTACCTATATTACTCAGTCATAGTTGTCTATAGAGGTTCTCGGTCATCCAGGTCATGGTTGCCCCAAAAATGCTTTTTCAAAAGGCAATTGGACTTTGTTTCAAAAGTCTAGTTGCCTTTTGAAAAAGCATTTGTGTGATATTCAATCGTAGGTTTCATTGGAATCCATGGAAGGAACTTAAGCTTAAATTTTGTGGTAACAAAATTTAATTGTTTGAGTTAGCAACCTGCAAGCCAAGTCCATTATCAGGAAACCACTTCAGTCTGTATTTACTGCTCAGTTTCTTGATAGGTTTGCTAAAGTAGCCTGGTGTGCAACTACTGCAGTGTTAAATGTTTTCAGTTCTTTCACTTTACATCAGACATGTCAAACTTGCGTCGGCGACATATCGGAGATTTTTCCCCATTGCCGGCAATGGGGTGGGCACGGTTTCCTTGGGATGCGTCTGGCCCGCGGACCGGCAGTTTGACACCCCTGTTTTACATGCTAAACATGTTATATTTTTACAGTTGCTTAGCTATCATTTGAAGTTACCAAAATCTCCCTGGGGATATTTACAGCCCAGTGCCAAAGTTCTCCAGCATGATTAAGAAGAATCCACCAATGGGTTGCGTGCTCAGCAACTGGTCTGCATTTACAGCAGTTGTCAATGCTTACAGTCATGTGCCCACACTTTATTATGGTGTTTGCCAAAAACTGGCATTTACTTCCAGTTTTTGACAAAACCACCCATAATGAACCATTGGTTTGCTTAACAACTGCTGCAAAAGTTGTAAAATTGGGTTGGTCACATAGGTTGTTGGTTTTATGACCATCACAATTTACAAAATGATAGGTAGGCTCCATTACAATTTTAAGTCGGAGACTGACTATACTAAATAACTTTAGAAATGGTAGAAATTCAATTTTTGAAATATACAAATTTTGGGATGAAGGCTGGAGATTGTTCAATACATTGGCATGTTATTAATAAGAATGAGAAAAACAGGTAATGGAGGATTTATTTTAATGTTGCCAATCCTTTTTTTGTAGTTTTTGTAGGTCATGTATCCATCTGTGAAAACATTCAAAGGCCTTAATATACATTGAATTTGCAGCTCACATTATGAGATGCTGGTTTTAACTGGTATTTGAAGCTACTATTTTTCTAGTTTTGTTAAAGAGTTAGATGTTAAATATTGCAAAAAAAAACCTTTCCATATTTGGAGCAGTCTACCTTTGATAGTAAAGAATTTGGAGAGAAAAATTAAGATTGTTCTTGTTTGGTGATTGCTTTGTTTAGTGACTGTTCACAGTTAAAATAGTGATGAAAAGTAACTTTACAACCAATTCTCACATTTATGACTCTTGTAGATGTGTAAATCAGAGAAAAGCATAGTCATGGTTTTATTTAAGAATTGCTTTATTTAACAACAAAGATGCTGATCCAATTGTGATTGCTAAACAAGAACTACCTGTAATCCAACTGTGAGGTTAAACTGCAGAAATAAATATAGTGGTAATTTGTGCTATAAGGCCAGCATGATTTTAACATTAGATATGAATGGCATGACATCAGGAAGCTTTTCTGCTTGTTCAGTGATACCTACATGAATAAGTGAAACATTATCTCATACATTCATCATAACATTTTTGCTACTATAACAAGAATAGCAGGTAAAAATTGTGGCTTTGCAAACTGCCTGCCTGCAATTTTTTTAAATGTTATTGGTAAATTCACTAACTCCTTTGGGCTGTTCAGGTTATACCAAACACAGGTTAGAAATTCCTGCCAGTTTATGTTTTAAAAATTCAGACCTGAAATATACTAAAGAAATGCTTTTATAAAGCTGAATTGTTTATCCAATAAAATAGGAATGCATAATGATATATTGACCAAACCTGTACAAAATATAGCATACTTATAGAAAACCCTAGTTGATCTAAGATTTTTGTTCAGGTTAGCAGTCATCTCTTGTGTATTTCTTTTATAGCGATATTCATACTTCTGAGACTATAGCCCTGTTCATTCTACACTGGCCTTTGCTTGGTGTTATCTTTTTTTTAAAAAGAATTTTAAAAATTATTTTGGCAAATTTTGGTGTTCTTAAAGCTGTCTGATGATATTTCAATCTTATTAGTGCTCAGCACGTAGTGCAGCATTCCTATATAATATCCACTAGGAAATAAAGTTTGATTATTACAAATTATGGAAGAAGGGTAGAATGTCAATTTTTTTAAAAAAAGTTTTGGATAGAGAAAATGCAGTTCGCTTCAGAATTTTTTATTCTGTAGACAGAAATATAAGTGGCAGGTTTTGTTCAAAACACAGTAAAGGAATAGAAAGAATTGAGCATGAAGAATTATTTATACTAAAAAGCTAGACATTTATGGTAAAGAGATTAAAAGACAAATATTTAAGTTACAGTAGTGATTTGTTCTAAAGAAATTAAACAGATTTTAATTTTTCACTTGAATTCTGATATTAA